CCTGTGGCCCCCGGCTCCTGCCATGAGAGATTGCTCCCACATGCAAACCTGTCCAAGTGTCACCCAATAAAGCTCATGTGTGCCACTACCACCTCATAGTCATTTTTTTTCCTTGATCAGTCCCCCAAATCCCTCAAACTCCCTACACAGTGCAAATGAGGAACTGAATTTTTACTATTAGTCCAATTAATTTAAATAGCTACATATGGCAAGTGGCTAGCACATCAGACAGCACAGCTTCGGCTCATTTAATATTCCTTCACACACAGCATTTAATAATCAACTACACTCATGTGCCAGGTACTATCCAAGGCCCTGAGAGGACAACAACAAAGTTTCCTGCCCTCTGCATATTCTAGTAAATAAGCAGATACCAGACAGTGACAAATACAATGAAGAAAAATACAGCAGGATCAGGATACAGGAGGAAGGGGAGGCTGGCCACACACACAGGGGTCAAAGCAGATGACCTCTGAACAGAGACTTCAGTGAAGGTGGGGAAAAAATCAAATACCTGGGGCAAAGCAATGCAAGCAGAGGTAACACAGTAGGACTCAACAAGAACTTGGCATGAGTGAAGAATACATTCTTTAAGGGGTTGTTTAACTTTAAGCCCCCATTCCCAAACCTTGGCCACAGAGACAGAATGGCCATGGCAGGCAGGCAGGCAGGCTGAGACATGGTGAGTGAGGGGAAGCTGCTGGAACAGGTCTGGCCCACAGCCAGGGGCAGATCCAACAGGCCCTGAAAGCCAGGGAAGTGCCGGCCAGTGTGCAGGGGTGGGGGTGTCCATGAAGACTACAGTATAAAGCAGTTCCCTAATTCTTTTACTTGAGGGACGATGGCTGCTCGGGTCACCTCATGCAACACGTTCTAAGAAAGACACTTTCCCTTTGCTTGCACTGACTGGGCCCAGATGTGTGCCCTCGGGAGGAGCAAACCTTTGACCTCCCAGATGCCTGCAATCACACCACCCTTCATGGGCAAAGCATCCCCAGTCCTGTAGGAGTCCTTCAGACGGTGGGGCTTGCAGAACTTTCCTGGTTGTCTCAGAGTTTGTCAAAATTCCCCACAAGATGTGGTGCCCAGAGCTCAAAGCAAAGCTCTAGTCTAAACCATGACTCTCACTCCACAAAAATGGCTTTAATTGCCGTAACTGAAAAACCAGGAGATTTCACATAAAAATCTGGGTTTCCAGCTTCTCTTGAAGAAGCAGAGATCTATGAAACCTGTGAAAAGGCTACAGGGCAGGTGCACGGGGCTTTCCACTCTTCAGAGAGACACACACGCTCCTCTTCTCCTGGCCCCACACCTGCTCCAGACCTTACAACATCAGGATTTTATAAGAACTAAACCAAATGACGGATGCACATGCAGTGCTAAGAACAGGGTCTGGAACAAGAAAAGTGCTCCATAAATGACAGGTAGCAGGAGTGCTGCTCTCCTGGAGACATCTGAGTCTGTGACTGTCTGGCAGTGGGACTTCTGTATCCAAGCTCTGGGCACATTTATTTTCGCCCAAGGTTCATTCCTGCAACCTCAGTCACCTATAATTCTGCCTTTCCTCCAGGTTTGCCCCCTGCCTCTGTACACCTGCCTCACCTTAACTTAAACAAAGGGCACTCCATTTATTCCTATCCATTTTCACTGACAAAGTGCTGCACATTCCCATCATATTCTCTTTCCCAATGTGTGCTGACACATCCAGGAAGGCCAGCAACTTCCCTTCCAGATGCAGTTTGGGAAATCAACTTGTTTGCTCCAATCCCTTGGAAGAGCCCAAAGTGATGCTCACCTCCTTGAGGACATCTGCACCCTGAAATCTCCTACATTTCTAAGGCCAAGAGAGCAATCATGTTGATACAACAGGAGTTGGCAATAACTGTTGGCTCAGCTTTGTTTTGCAAAATCCTCTGTAACTTCACCAGGCAAACCTAAAAGGTGTTCTCCACCCCCTTCTGCATATAGGACATCAGGGCCTTGAGTTCCAGACCCTGGAACAAGACTAATGACTCCATGAGATCAAAAACAACCTGTGATTTTGTGGAAAACTTATTAGCCACAGATCCATGGAACAGAGCCCCAGGTGTCAAGGTGACCCCTGAAACCTGAGAAAGTCAAATAGCAGCAAGCCCAGTCTTTAACTGACTGCACCTTGAATTTGTTGGTTTCTCACATTTCTTTAAACTGGGGCTCCCTGACTATATATGTCTTCATTCATTTTAGCATTGAAAATAAGTTAGAAACAAGTTAAGAGAGCCATTTGAAACACACACCCAAGGGGAGGGATGAGAAGAAAATGCTGATTCCTGACTCCTCATGACCACAACTTTATGATGGCCCCATCTGTCTCTCCACCTTGCCTTCCTTACTCTTCAGTCCTAAAAAGGGAAAAGGAAAATGAATGTAGAGATTCTTATTTAGCTTAAAATCCTTTAGTTTATTGAAAAAGCAGCAGTTAAATTTCCAATATATTCACTCTTCAATCCTTAACAGTTACACAGAGACATTAAACAGCTATTCTCTCTTCCCAGACTGAACTATGTTCCAAATGAGAAGGAATAGTATCAAGTGTTATAATCCTTCTGATAGAGTTTGTAAAGCATTTGGAGAAATTGATGCCAAATAATAATAATTATAAATTTGTACTAGTATGTTAAAGTGCATAGCCCATCTATATTCCACACTGAATAAAACGATTTAATGACCACATTCCCCATTATAGCTTAAATACAGAAATTCAAGAGCTTTGGCATAAAACCTTATTTCCAAAGCATAATTTTAAAAATATGCTTCTCAATCACTGTCCAGCTGCCAATGGTATCCTTATTCATTCATTTCTGCATCTCTTTTGACTCCATAACTCTAACTTTATATAAACCACTTCACTCACACAGACCTCAGTGACCTCAGCAGTCAAACAGAGCTAACAACACATTTCATGTCAAGAGTCAGGAGACTAGCTAAGGTATCACTGGGTGTCCCTTCCACTAAAATCTACTGTCCTACTTCTGTTCTCTTGACTGAATAACATATCATTCAAGGTCTTCTTTTTCCTGCTTAGCTCATCTAAAGTTTATTCTATAGTTGTCAGATTTCTACTTCCTTCAGATTCCTTTACTTCACCCACTATATACAATGCTTTCTGCCTTACAGTGAACCCTCAACTTTTAAGGCAAATCAAGAAGACAGTGAGGTACTAGAAATGATCACAAAAGAAATGAAAAATAGAACTGCATCAGAAAAATAAGAAAAACAACTACAGAGTTACAATAATAAATGTAGAAAAAGTGAAAACTCACTTTGAAAAAAGAGACCATTACAGATATATAGAAATGGGATCAAATACATAAGAAGAGAAAGAGAAACACAGGAAAATAAGAACAATGTTCATGGACAGGGAAGTCAAGAAAATGTCTTAAATACACACAGTTTTGTAAAAGGCACAGTGGAAAAGAACAGCAGCAGATGATGATTCTGTAATATCCAATTCATCCTGCCATTAAGTGAGAGATCCCACAGAGAAACTGAGAAACAATGTAATTAAATCTGCCCGTCTGCCTTGCACTCAGGTGTCAGAGAAGCCCAACCAACAAGTGCCCTCAGGTGCTATATGCCCTGGTTTTCAACACACTGCCCCTCAAGGCAAACTCAGAGCCACCTGCTCTTTCACTTCCCATGTAGAAGTGTGCGAGCAAGCCTTGTTTTCATGGTTTCTGGTAGTAAAGCACTGCCAGTCCTTGCATGTCCATTCTAAAAGGCTCCTCAGGCATCAGCAGACCAACCATGACTTCACAATATCCACAATCACGTGTCCTGGTTTGCACTAAAAGTCCTACGTCCTTGGAAACCTCTGAGTTTATTCAGCATATTACTGACCTTTCCACCAGCCCCGGGAGTCAAATATTACCAAAATCTCTTCTCTGCAAATTGCCTTTCTAAAGCAAAACACTCCTCTCTGCTACAGCCCTCCGTCAAGTGTGGTCCTCTTATTATCATCAGTGAATATCCAGTCTGTTCCCACAAAAACTAGCCCTCATTATGTACCACACCCCTAGGCACACCGATAAATACTTCCAATATTTCTATCAACTTATAAGTCAGTCAGTTCCACAACTTTGAGGTTGGTCTGGTTCTCCCTAAAAATTCACAAGAGACTCAGGAGACAAAATTAAAGAGAGAAGTATTATATTTTTAAATGTATGTTTAAGGATCCTGCTTCAGTTTTTAGCTAACAAAACATAGTATACGTAAATTCTGTAAGGTTCAGAGAAGCGAAGGCCAAAAATCCGAGATTTTTTTATTAGGTAGGTATCAACTAGTTTCCTACGCTTCTCCGTCCCAATCAGGAAAAATGTGCAAGCCTAAATTCTCACAAAAGTTGATTAACAATGTCACTTCTTGTTCTCTACTTTTTCCTGAAAACCACAATGAAACTCATCACACAGTGAGAGGTGGGAAGGTGCAGAAGAGCAAGTGCAGAGAGGCCAGCTCTTCGCTGGAACACGAGGAGCGACCCGAGCATGCTTTCGGACTTCCTTTCAGGACAGTGAGAGCGGGGTACTGGGAAGACCTAGGACCGCGGCGAGGTGGCAAGGTGGTCCTCCCTCGGGGAATCGGGTACGCCAGCAAGAAAGATGGGGGGAGGGGACGAGGGAGCTAGGGAAAGGCGAGGAAGCAACAGCTCTGTAAGCTGGGGAAGGAGTGAGGGGCAGAAAGGGGCAGATGCGGATTGAGGCGGTCTCGGGACCCCAAGAGCCAGGGAAATTGGCTGAAATTGGGCGCAGGGTGCACCCAAGCCTCAAGGACCTGGCAGGTGCATCCGCTTGGTCGGAGCCCGTTTCCTCCCCTATAAAATGAGTATTGCCCGGGGGAATTAAATGGGATGGCGCCTGCGGCGCGCTTGGCAACGCATTTACCCAACTGCTGTTATTGCCGTCCCAGTGGTTAGGGAGGGTCGACCCGGCCATTCGCGGCCCACGGCCAGGGGCCCGGCCTACCTGCCGTCCTTGGACTCGGGGGCCTGGCCATTGTCCGTGACGACCTGCGGCCGCAGCGGCCGCCGCTGCCGCAGCCCGTCCGCCTCGCTCATGGTGCGAGTGCCACTGCCCCTAACCCCGTCTCTAACCGGGAAGGAGCAGGACCGGCTCTGCGCCCGCCCGCCGCCCCGACCCGCCCACATCCGGGCCCCGCACCGCCCTCGGCCCCGCCCCGACCGCGCGCGGAAGTGACGTCGCTGGCCCGCCCCTACTGGCAACTGGCACGGCGGCTCCTAGAGCGTGTCTGGGCGGCACTTCCCGGCGAGCGCGAGTGGGCGGACGCTCGGAGGGACCTGAGCCAGTGCGGACGCTTCCGAGGCTCCGGAACGCGCGTAGTCTAACCCCGGGCTCCTCCAGCCCAGCGCCTGCGCTTCCTGCGTTCCTTTATTGCTGGCGGTGGGACCGCAGTAATCGTTAGGCGCATAATGGTGCAAATGGGCGGTGCTGGGCTGAGGTGTTGGCCGTTTGTGTGGGTAGAAGATGGCCCTGCTTGTTAAATGACAAAGACCCGGTTCGTATAGGCGGGGTAAAAAAAAATAACGAGTTCGTACTGGAGGCCTACGAGGGCCGTAATGCCCACCTGAAAATCGTGACCCTTTACGAAACAGATCCTGTTAAGGGGAAAATTTGGGACAAATATGCTGCTGTTTGGATTAAAGCCATTGAGTATTAAATCTTTTTGCTACAGCCAAATATTTGACAAGGTTTGTGAAAGGGTTACCCTTAGAAGTAAAAGGGGGTATATAGAAATCATTAATTATTGGGCGCCTGGGTGGCTCAGTTGGTTAAGCGACTGCCTTAGGCTCAGGTTATGATCCAGTGAGTCCCTGGATCGAGTCCCGCATCGGGCTCCCTGCTCGGCAGGGAGTCTGCCTCTCCCTCTGACCCTCCCCCCCCCCGTGCTTTCTCTCTCTCTCATTCTCTCTCTCTCAAATAAATAAATAAAATCTTTAAAAAAAAAGAAATCATTAATTACAACAAATAAGGTCTAAGCACGAAGTGATCATTTAACAGTATTTTAGTCAGGTATATTTCTAGGTGCTGGGAGGTGATGGTGAGCAAGCCACAGACAAGCTCGCGCACTTACTGAAATTAAACTAGTGAGAGATGACTTTAATCGGGTCATCATAAAGATAAATGTGAAATGTAAAAATTGCATTAAAGGGGAATAACATGATCTTGTGAGAGCATTTGATGGATTCAGAACCTGAGAAATGACTAGGATTTTGAGAAGAAACAGGATTTCCAGGCAGAGGAAACCAAATCCCATTACTATGCATCATCTCTAGAAAAGGCATGTTCAAAATGAAGTATTAAGAATTAATTTCCTTATTGCACTTAAAGACTTCCCTGATCAAACATGCCATTGCCTTTCTTAGTGTTAGGTGGCAATAGAATCCCATATGACTGTTTAATAAGAGATGAAGAACCAGCATGAGGGAAGTGAAGAGTTCTCATATAAATCCAGTTCTGCAGGGATTACCATGCCTGGCAGGGATGTAATTAAGGCCTTGGCAATATTTTACTTCATTTCCTATCCAATACAACCAGTATAGCTGTTAGATCCAGGATAAAAGTTTTAACAGCACTGCATGATCTGGCCCCTTTCTTCCTGTCTGGATTTTCCCTCCTGCTGTGTTTCAGACACTCAGCATTGCTTGCTATTTCTTGTGAAAATGCTTTCCTTCACCACTTGGCCAAAACAACCTTTGTCATTTAGGACTCACTTCAAGTATCATTGCTGAAAACTCTTCCCCTATTGTGTCTAAGCCACTTTGAACATGCCCCAAGCATAAGATTTAGCTCGTTGCATTGGAATTATTTGTATTCCATGCCCAGCATTAAAGCCTACCAACCAAAAACAGCCAGGAACATACCTGTCAAAAGTAAGTAATAGTAATAAGAAGTTAAGTTTATTGAACTTGTTGCAGCAAAGAAATTCGCCAGAAGGACCTGTGAGGCTCCTCAAAAATGGGGTTACAGAAGGTCCTTGAGGGGTTAGGGCTGGTGTTTGTAAAAGATGGTCTTGGCAGCGATGGGCCAGAATTTGTAAACTAGGAGACTCATTGGGGGAGTCAGTGGTCTTACCTGGAACACATGAGTCCAAGTGGAGTTATTGGGAGATCAGCTTGTCTTATCTGAGAGCAAGTGGTCTGAATGAGCTAAATTAAAACGTTTGAGTTTAGATTGTTTGTGTTGGGTGGCACAGTTTAGTACCGTTTTTCATGGTGAGATCCACATTGCTGGTTGTGGTTTGTTTCAGTTCTCTACCGAGGCTCTAGCCTAGCTGCCACCCAGTTATCAGCAGGGAGATGGGATCAATGTAATTGGTTAGAACAGGTTTCTCAGCTTCAGCACCACTGATATTCTGGGCCAGATTCTTTGCTGGGGATGGCAGGAAGAAGCTCTCCTGTGCATTGCAGGATATTTAGCTGCATCCCTGGCCTCCACCCACTAGATGCCAATAGCATCCCACCTAGTCATGATAAGCAGTAATGTCTCCGGACACTGCCAAGTGTCCCCTGGGAGACAAGATAGCCCCTGATTGCGAACCACTGGGTTAGACCAACCAAAAGCGACCCCCATGCACCCTGAGAGTAGGGATGAGGCCCATTTGCATTGAAACTCTGGCCCATGTGGAAGGCATTTATCTCAACAAATCAGGGCTCTGCCAGCAGGGAAGGAGAGGCAGTGATGCTGAGCAAGGAGCCAGTACTGTGCCTCACAGCTTAAACTGGAAATACTCCCTATTTCCAGGCCACTGCTTTTTCCCAATCCCATACTGTTTCCATTTCTTTTGTAGATATCTCCTGAAAGCCTTTCAGGCACTTGGCCAAGTGCTGTGACAAAACAAAGGTGAAATAAGGTGAGCCAACTTGCAGACATGTTATGATCTTAGAGGGGAGATAAGCATGATAACCAATCTAAAACAGTGCCACAGAGGAACCACACAGTGCGTTGGGGGCCACAGGGAACAAGTCCCATCAGGTAGCAGTGCCCAGAGAAGGTTTCATGGAGGAAGTAGAATTATGATGGCAGGTTGAAGGAATGGAAGAGGACACAAAACAGGCTTAAGAGGGAAGTGTGGGGTGGCCATGGATTGGTCAACAAGGGGGTGACAGTCAGGGTAGACTGCAAGGTTATGAGTAATCAAAGAAGAATCATCTAAAAGATGCTCTAAAGGGGTGAAGAAAAGCAGCAATAGACAGAGCCTTCCTCCCTGCCCCGAATCCAGGAAAGCAGGAGTGACCTGCTCCAAACAGAAGTTCAAGCTAAGTTGTTGTATTGTGATGGGAAGTTCTGGTGTCAGCTCAGGTGGGAGAGTGGAGAGTGTAAAGTTAGAGAATGGAGAATAGCTTGTTCAGAGTAGAAAAAGTATCCTAGAGATCATCCAGTTGCCAGACACAGACATTCACAAAAGCCCACTTAAGATGAGGGAGGGATTTATTGGAAGGATATGGAGATAGCTCATGGAACTCCAACACAGAAAGTGCAGCCTGGCCTCACAGGGACTGGTACGAGGACCTGGAAAAACAGGAGCAGTACTCCTCTCAACCTCCCTCATACCTCACTGTGTTTTGTCTCTTCATCCCTGGTGATTCAGTAGCAAGCCTTGTTATGGGACTGTCCGTCTTCCTCTTTGCTGCCCTCTATTAGAGCTGGATACAGTGATGCAGGCTAGAATCTGGCCTTGAGTTAAAAGCAGCAATCTAGGGTTTCTTTTGGCCTCTAGGAAAAGTTCCTGCTTTTCCAATAAAAAGGAGAGATAGTGTCCTGCCCTTACTTACCCTCCTCTGACTCCCAGAAGTTATGCTTAGAATGGCAGTAGCATCTTGTGATGGTGGAAAATCACCCTGAGGTCTAAAAGACAACACACCAAGAAGAGAAAACCTAGGCTGCTAACTCCTGCCAGCAACCATGTACCCCTGGGCTTCTGGGTTACATGAGGAAAGCCACCCCTTGTGCATCCAAGGCCTGGTCAGGTGAGCAGTTTGTGCTTGCATCTAAATGCGTCCTATCTGATATGCCAGTGTTCTCTGGTTGAACATGCCCGTGGCAGGAAATTATTGCCTCAAGCCCAGCTCTCCATGACCTCCCATTTCATTGTATTCCACCAGCTAACTACAGTCTCTTTGTCCACAGTCCAGATTCCTGGACTGAGACTCTGATGCTCCCAACTTTGGTGAGGTGCCCAAGTCTGATTGCCGTGTTAGAGGACAGGGTCCCATGTTCCACTGAGCATTCAAGGCGGGGAGGACCGAGAGAGGAAACTAGGTGGCATAGGCATGAGCAGGGCAGGGCTGGCACACTGAATGATGTCTGCCCCAGTGAGAAGCAGGCAAGGGGAGAGGTGAGGATTAGAAATAAGCTGACTGGACAAAACTGCCTTAATTACCCTAGTGAGGAGGATTCATAAGGTCAACCCTGACTTGGTAGGAAAAGGTGCTCGTAGGAAAGACATTCACCAGTTGGCATCCGCATAGACCTGGACATTCATTATTGTTACCTCTGTTGAGAAGTGAGCTTATCTGCTCCATCGGTTCCTTGGGTAACTCGTTAATCACATTTCATTACATCCAGAAACCATTTCTTGAAAGCAACTAGTTATTTCCCTTTGGACGATTTCTGCTCTGCCTTTTTGAGCAAACGTATGCATACATAAGTGTTTCCTTGGCTCAAGAATAAAGAGATGTGTGGTTGGCTGAGGTGACGTCTTCTTTGGGAAAGAATCAGCCCAAAATGAGGCTGTGCATCCAGAAGGCTGCTCAGCAGAAGTCTGGTCTACAGGAGCAAGGAGACTAGACACAGTTACCCAGTTGGTGGCTCTTACCAAGAAAATCCCACCCTGTCTGCAAAAGAAGTTGGCAGGCCATCTATTCCAACAGACTCTAAACTCCTTGGTACTTACCAGTCTGTTGATGATGTCCTAGGCCAGCCAGCCACAGCCTTCTTCCCCTTTGCTCTTTCTAGGTTTATTTAGACTTGGATTTTGGCCCTCTGGTTTCTCACCTCCTTGGCCATGGTTGGTACCTTTTGGTGCAGGCACCAGGGGCACTAACAAGCTCCTTCTCTGCTATTTGGAATAAAGACTGGTGCAGGCAGGAATTTCAGCT